GGTTCAGTGGCTAGAGCAGTGATGGCGAACCTTTTGAGCTCGGCGTGTCAGCATTTTGAAAAACCCTAACTTAACTCTGGTGCCGTGTCACATATAGAAATTTTTTGAGTCTACGGCCATACCACCCTGAACGCGCCCGATCTCGTCTGATCTCGGAAATTTTTTGATATTTGCAACCACAGTAAAACAAAGATTTATATTTTTGATATTTATGTTATATATTTAAATGCCATTTAACAAAGAAAAATCAACCAAAAAAATGAGTTCGCGTGTCACCTCTGACACACGTGTCATAGGTTCACCATCACTGGGCTAGAGCGTCGGCCCCAGGTTCGATTCCAGTCAAGGGCATGTACCTTAGTTGCAGGCTCCTCCCCTGGCCCCCCAGCCCTGGTCAGGGCTCCTGCAAGAGGCAACCAATCTATGTGTTTCTCTCTGTCTTTCCCTCTCTCTTCCACTCACCCTTAAAAATCAATGGAAAAATATCCTCGGGTGAGGATTAACAAAAAAAGAAAAAAGAAAAAGAAAAAAATAGCCCTGGCCGGTTTGGCTCAGTGGATAGAGCATTGGCCTGAGGACTGAGGGGTCCCATGTTCAATTCGGGTCAAGGCACATGCCCAGGTTGTGGGCTCGATCCCCACTGGAGGGGGCGTGCAGTGAGTCTCATCACTGATGTTTCTATCTCTCCCTCTCTCCTGAAATCAATAAAGATATATTTTTTAAAAATAAATAAATAAAAATTAAAAAAAAACAAATAAAACAAAACTATATAATTCATGTAAAACTCCAACTGTTATACTCCCGTGGAAAAACAATGTATTAGTAATCCTAGAAAGTAAAAAGTTTTAAAAATTTAGTTACTAGAACCATTTATAAAGGTCTATGCTGCAATTTTAGTTTGTTGTTTTTTTAAAATATATTTTTATTGATTTCTAAGAGGAAGAGAGAGACAGAAACATCAATGATGAGAGCGAATCACTGATCAACTGCCTCCTGCAAGCCCCCTACTAGGCATCAAGCTCGCCACCAAGGACATGTGCCCTTGACCAGAATCAAACCTGGGACCCTTCAGTCCACAGGCTAATGCACTATCCACTGAGCCAAACCAGCCAGGGCTGCAACTTTAGTTTTAAAACACCAGGCTAGTGGCCAGTGTTTTAATATCTGCAACCAGTAAGCAATTATTTGAAAATTTGAGTAATATATGTGAAAATGCTTTGTAAATAATAGACCTTTAAATTAACGTAAATTATATACAGTTAAATGCTACATCATTCGGTCTTCAGTTAACTGAACTAGCCCACATCTCCCCAAATCAATAGGTTCTATAGAAATACAAGGTTATTTATAGAGTCAGCCTTGGAGTGTGCACTGTTCCTCAGCCCTGCACTTCGGGGAACTGAAGCAAGGTAAAGTGAGGCCTCTAGGTCCAAGCCCAGCAGCATCACAAGGCGATGCAATATATTGTTCCACTTCTGATCCACAGTGCCTGACACTCTCCGCTTCCTTGGCTCCCAGACACTGTATATTCCCTCCTTATTCTCTTACCTCCACCTTCAGTCGTTCCTCTTCCTCCTCCTCTGTGGCTGCTCCTTAAGTCTGTTCTCTATGTACACTTTCATACCATTGTCATGGCTTCAGCATACACTGCCAGGCTTCCTTCCTCACCTGCACTACAATTCTGAGGCCCTAAGGCCCAGCCCCATAGCTCAACAAACCCCAAACCAAAGTTATCTTGGACTATTTCTATTAGTTGGTACTCCAATCTGTTTCCAAATCATACAGCCCCAGACAGCAAAACCTTATCACCTTCCGACCTTAACACCAAGGTAAACTTGCCATTGCAGCTAAGCATTTTAAAAAAATTGTACTAAAATATGCATAACATAAAATTTACCATTTTAACCTACAGTGTGGCAGCAAGTACTTCTGGAGAATCTACAATGTGAAAGCCATCAATTTACAAGAATATAGTGAAATGTAATGGACAAATACATAGTCATTTCCCTCCAGAATCTTTGGGAAGCATTTGGGGAAGATATACACAGGAAAAATGAGCTAACTGTACAAGGAAGTGCAAGAATAAAAGGCAATCGAATGACAAAGATAGCCCTGGAACAAGACCTAAAAGCAGGATAACATTATCCGCACACACCAGAGTGGTTAGAACATAACTAAACCTCAACAGATGGGTAGGATTTGATGGTAAAAAGAGAAGCACGTATTTCAGGAGGAGCCAAAATTAAAATCACTGCTAGATGATTCCACTTGCATGAGGTATGAGGGGCTGGAGAGAGGAGGCAAGGGGGAACTGGTGTCTAATGGGCACAGAGTTTCGGTTTACAAGGATGAAAAAGTCCTGGAGATGAAGGGTGGTGATGGCCGCAGAACAATGTGAATGTGCTTAATACTGCAACGCTGTGGCTGAAAATAGCTAAAATGGTGAATTTTGTGTGTATATTTTAGTACAATGAAAAAAAAAAGACTGCTTGGCTAGAATGGCAAGCTTACCCTGGTGATAAGGTCGGAAGGTGATACAGTTCTGCTCTCTGGGGCTACACAGAACACAGTCATTCTTTTGTCAAATGTCAGCCTTTTTCTCAGCTGTGTTCTCCAACTCTCATTCTTCGGAGGAGCTGGGCGGAGGGGTCGGTGGTCTCTACGATTCTACAGGTTCCTTGAGAGGAGGGGCTGATGGAAACTCCTTGATGCCCACCCAGCAGAGAGTCTGGCACAAATCAGGCTCAATAAGTACTTGTGACATGAATGAAAATACTAACAGTAAAGGCTACTCATAACAGAACCCACAGGCGCTCCATCACAGCCAAATCCTGGCGACGCTGGCGGTGAGACTCTTCCCTAAGCCTCTCAAGATTAGCTATGGAGGTCTGTAAACCTCAGGCCGCTCCCCCCAACACTCCCGTACACAGATCGGGGTGACGGAGAAGCAACACGCATTCAAGGCAATCGGCTTTCTTAATCATTTTCTAAGACGGCCAACAAGAACCAAATGACAGGCCTGGCTGCTTAAGGAGGAGGAGGAAAGGGCAGATTCCGCGTCGATGGGAGCTTAACTCTGCTAAATTTGCCCATCTCGGAGGCGCCGACGGGAAGGGCTAAAGAACCAAAGCCGAGTGCCCGGCCAAAGCCCAGTGCCGCCCTTCTCCCGGTCGGGGGCGTGGAGGTAGGAATGGTCCTGGAGCGACCTCCGGGGAACCAGGGCTGCGCGAGGGGCGGCCCTCGGATGCTGTGGCCCGGTCGTGACAGGCTATCAGGGACAGCTCCCCTCCCCGCCCAAGCCGGCGCAGCCCCAAAGGAGGCGCGGCCCATCTTCAGCGCACCTTTTGCCTCTCCTGGCTCTCGGTGTCCTCCAAGGGTGCCTCCAGCTCCATGATGTCTCCCCAGAGTAGTTTCCCAGGCATCATTGGTCGCCGCCGCCTCCCTCTGGGCACGGTGGCCACAACCACCTACCGCTAGCGACAGAGTGAAAGGAAGCGGGGGCAGGGCGGTCGCCGGACCAAAGCTGTGCGTCACTTCCGGGACACGCACCGCACAGCGCGGGTGGGGAGAGGGGGGAAGTAATCCCGGATACTCTTGGTTTAAACTCTTCCCATGCGTCTCAACCTCCGACCAATGACTGTGAGCAATCTCGATTGGCCCACCCTCGTTCTGAAATGATTGGCTTCTGAGGGTCACAACCTGGCCAATCTGCATAAAGGACGCGCGAGCTTATTAACATAAAAATGGTGGGGGGATTTCCTCTCCCTCCCCCTCCCCCACCCCGAACTTTCCTCCTCGGAAAACGCTCGGCACCCAGGAGACGCTTCAGGACTTCCCAGCATACAGTGCGGGGACTAGGGACTAGGAAGCGCCGCTGCCCCGGCCGAGAGCTCCCCGCGCGCGGCGGGCTGGCGCGTGGACGGCCCCGTGCCGGGCTAGACGGCGCGCCACGTGCCGCCCCGCCACTCGCCGCCGGAAGCTGCAGGTCTCGGCTCCGCCTATTGCGGGGTGAAGCGTTAAGGTCCGAAGGCTTCGCGCGAGGCCTGCGGCCCGGCGTTGGTGGGAAGGGGCCCGGTGGGCTTGAAGTGAAGACCTGGCCAGGACAATGGTCCCGCAAGTCTTAAGCTTTTGTCAGCAAGTTGGTCCTTGGCTCATAGTCCGTATTTGAAACAGAGGACACGGGGAAGGGATGTACCGTCCGGTCACACAATCGGTTGGTGGCGGTCACGACTAGAGAACTCATCTGAATGCGACCGAGAGGGTGCCTTCGGCCACAGCGACCTGAAAGCTTCGAGTTTCTTCGCACAGCGTTTCGGGGAGGGCTGCTCTCATGAAACGGAATATGTAATAAGGAGGAGAAACTTGGAGAGAAAACAAGCCATTAAATGTCTGGCACATCGTGTATTTGCAGCGAATAAAAGGACTTTATATTACTGATGGGGATTAACTGCCCCTGAATTATATACAACCTAATGCGAAACTGGAAACCTTATATATATATATATATATATATATATATATATATATATATAATATTTTTTGCAGAGAGGAAGGGAGAGAGATAGAGAGCCAGAAACATCGATGAGAGAGAAACATCGATCAGCCGCCTCCTGCACATCTCCCACTGGGGATATGCCCGCAACCCAGGCACATGCCCCCGACTGGAACCCAACCCGGGATCCCCCAGTCCGCAGGCCGACGCTCCATCCACTGAGCCAAACCGGTTCCGGCAGAAACTGGAAACCTTTTGATATTGCGAAGGGTTAATTCCTTAGCATATAGCTACTCTTTTTTTTTTCTATACTTTTTTTTTTTGTTTGAAGAAAATTATAAAGTCAGCAAGCAGTTACAGATGAAAGAACAAATAAAACAGGTGGATTGGATCGTTAAGATGAGGAACAAAAATATCTGTTCAGAGTTAAAAATGGACAGAGTGGTTTATTTTGCTGCAAGAAGAGAACACAGGGCGGTGGATGGCCACTGCCGGAACCGGAGAAGGCTCAGCAGCATGTGCTCCTCCAGCCTGTCGCGCCTCCTCCGCTGCCGGTACCTACATTTTCACTGCGGGGCTCTTCTGCCGCGGTCTTTCGACGAAGGGTATCTTCAGCTAATGTGAGAAAGGCCTTTTCAATGTTTGCTTTTGCACTCGTCTCAAAAACCCTAATACCGTGCTCCCTTGCCATCGGTTCTCCTTGTCCCTTAGGTACAACTCTTTTATCGTCCATATCACACTTGTTTCCTAGTGACATGCTTTCCCCATCTTCATCGGCATGCTCATCTATGTTTCTAAGCCATCTGCCGATGTTTTCAAAACTCTGACCATTGGCGATGTCACATGCTAGCTGCAGCTAGCCTAATGCCCATTGCTTCTCTGCAGTGGGAGGTTGTGATGGTGTGAAACCGCTCCTGGCCTGCTGTCTCCCATGTCTGTGGCTTGATCTTCTTTCCTTGTAATTCAACAGTTTTGATCTTAAAGTCGAGTCCTATGGTGGAAATGAAGGTGGTATTGAAGGCATCGTCCGAAAAGCGGAAAAGGACGCAGGTCTTCCCCGCTCGCGAGTCCCCGATCGGGAGCAACTTGCAAAGCAGGTCGTCCGTCGTCTTCGCCACTGGGAGGAGCGGCCCCCCAGCTCCCGCCGCTGGCGGCCCCACGGGATCGTCCCTCTCACTGGGGCCAACTCCTCGCTCGGTGTCCTCAGGCCGGAGCACCGGGGAAGCGTGGGGAAAAGGAGGCTCGAGAGGGCGCGGGCGACCTCCGGACGGCCTCGTCGAGGAAGCACCGACAGCGGCAGAGACCGCGGCTCCGCAGCCTCTCCCAGCCGCTCTGCGGGGTTCCGGGGAGTCGGTCGGGTCAACATGGCCTCCCCTCCCCCCTCGGGGCTGCTCGGCCGGGACGCTCTCACGGTCAAGCCAGCGAGCTCGGCCGTGGAGGTAGCGCCGAGGGCGTGAAGACAGGCTCTCCCCCGAGCCGACACTCCGCGCCCAGGCACGGCGATGGCAGCCAAGGAGGACCCGAGCCGAGAGCTCAGCTACATAAGCCACCGGAAGCCGAGCCGCCCCGCCGGAGCCACCTGTTCCCCGAGCCCTCTCAGGCTGCCTCGCATAGAGCCATGCGCGCTGCCTCGCATAGAGCTACTCTTGAATGGAGAACAAGAACCCGAATTGGGATGCAGGTGCAGGAGCACTTCCCAGACCACCTGGCCGTGTCCAGCCCCACCAGCCTGGTAACCTGAGCATCAGACTTCTGTTTCAGCAAAACGACACATTACTACCTACGGCATGGAGTGCGGGGATTGGTCCCGAGTAGCTGGAACCACAGATGTTAAATCTGTGGGGAAATGCACCTCCCCCTAAACTGTGGGAATGGCTGTGCATCTCTAAATCTGTGTGTGTGTGTGTGTGTTTTTCTGAATCCTTTTGTCCCACTCCCTCTCCCCCACCCCCAATTCTGCCATGGTAAAGTTCATGGCCCTACAACATGGAGTGGATGTGGTTAAGAATGTCACACATATAAAATTGGGGTAAAAGGAACCAATGTTACTATGTTCTGGTTGAAGAGCAAACACAGGTGAAGTTTTTAAAACCTCCTTATGACGATTTTTGGCTTTCATTTTTATGCCAAAGGTCATACAGCAGATCTATAAAAGGAAAGGACTGCACTTCTCCCTATGCAAAAGAGGTGTTTTTCAGAATGACCTTCTGTGACTTAGATTAGCATTCTCTGCAAACCTTGCCTTTCCAAGCCCCAAATTCATTGAATCAAATATCTGACTGCTGTTTATGTCAGGTGGAGTGTACAAATGTGTGCAAATTAAACCAAGTCATAAATAACTTGACCAAGCTGTGGCTTAGCTGGAAAATAAAAGCGGGGGCGAGGATGGAGATACTACTACATATGTGCTCTCAATGCGTATCAACTAGGAAACTTGAGAATGAAGGCATGGAGAATTTTTGTTTGGTCCCTCTATAAATTTCAAGAGATTTATATAAATTTCAAGAGATGAAATTTGGGGGGCAGGAGTATGAAGGAGTAGCATAATTAAAATTCACAATTAAAAATATAATCTTATTAGGACATCTTTATTTCCCAAATATCTTACCAGTCATTGATCTTTCTTTCTTAAAATTTAAGAATTGGGGAGCCTCATCTATTGCTGTGCTCCAAGGCTATAAAGATTTCCCTTGCCTTTGGCTTATGACCTTAAGATATAAACAAGATGACTATAAATTTGCCTCCCTCTGGTCATTCTCAAACTTACAGGGCTAGATTTTTACTCCATATTTAGAAAACAGGAGGTAAAAAGAGCCATCATTTTGCATCTGCATGTCATTTTATGTAACAAGAAAAATTGAGCTATCATTTTTAAATATTGTGACACTGAAAATAGTTTAAGGGGCAGTTATAAATTGATCAAGAGACACTGGAGTCAGAGTGTTGAGAGTACTAAGAAGTAAGGAGAAAAGGAAAGAGGGAACAGGAGGGATGTTTCTGCCACTGCTAGCCACATGACCCTGGCCAACTCCACTCTAAAACCTGTTCTTGGTTAGTAATGTGCAGACAAAAATGCCTTCCCTACTGATAGCACAGGGAATTTAGAAGGATAAGATGACATAGCAGTACTACACAGATGATGCTTACATTTATACCTCTAGCTTCAGGTTTTGACAGGTTTTGAAAGCATTGGCTGTAATCATCTTCCAGTAATTTGCCAAAATGACCAACACAAAGAGAAAGAGGAGAGGCACCCGCTATATGTTCTCCAGGCCTTTTAGAAAACATGGAGTTGTTCCTTTGGCCACTTGCATGCGAATCTACAAGGAAAATGATGTAGTCATCAAGGGAATGGGCACTGTTCATAAAGGAATGCCCCATAAATGTTGCCATGGCAACACTGGAGCAGTCTACAATGTCACCCAGTATGCAGTGGGCATTGTTGTGAATAAACAAGGGCAAGATCCTTGCCAGGAGAATTAATGTATGTATTGAGCATATGAAGCCGAGACAGCTCCCTGAAACGTGTGAAGGAAAACGATCAGAAAAAGAAGGGAGCCAGAGAGAAAGGTGCCTGGGTTCAACTGAAGCTTCAGCCCGCTCCACCCAGAGAAGCACACTTTGTGAGACTCAATGGAAAGAAACCTGAGCTGCTGGAATCCATTCCCTATGTATTCATGGCATGATAAGTGTAAAAAAACAACAATCAGAAAACCTCTGTACTGAGTCAAACAAACAAACAACATTGGAGACAGCTTTGAACATACTTATCACAGGTATACTTATGTATCTAACTCCTAATTCTAACTCATTGAAAATATTTTTACATTTCTTTGGATAGAGATTTCACTGTTTCTTTAGTCAATTACTATATACACATTTTGAATCAAGTGGTGGGAGTAGTCACATCACATCCCAGAAGAGGGCACCATTCCCAAGAAATGGAAGCTCCTTCTGATAAAGAAGGAACCTTCTAAGAAATCTAAGGTTTCAAATGGGAGGACTCGTAGTCATGGGGATGTAAAGCACCTCATAGGGAACATAGTCAACAATATTGAAATAACTAGGTATGGTACCAGGTGGCTACTGGAAATATCAGGGGGAACACTTTGTAAAGTATATGATTAACCACTATGCTGTAAACCTTAAATGAATACAAAATAACATTGAATTTAAACTGTAATTGAAAAATAAAATTAAAAAAGAAAATAGCGCCCTGGCTGGGTGGCTCGGTTGGAATGTTGTCCTGTGCACTGAAAGGTCACCAGTTTGATTCCTGGTCAGGGCATACGCCCAGGTTGCAGGTTGGGTCCCCAGTCAGGGTGTGTAGAGAAGGCAACCAATGTTTCACTCCTCTCTCTCTCTCCTAAAATCAATAAAAACAAAAACCTTCTTAGCCAAAAGCATAATACCTTCCCCAGGCATATCTAGATTTTGATTGATGATACTTTCTATAATCTTTACCTAAATTGAATCTCTAATTGGAGGAACTCCAGACAACCTGGCAGAAACAGGGGACCTGTACAGTAGGCCATGTATTTACCTATCAGACAAGTTTGGTGAGTATATAGAATTATACACACACATATTTAACAACATGAGGTGCCTGCTGTATTGGGCACTTTCCATAGATTATCTTCCAATCTGACAACAATCTGTAGCATAGGTATCATTACTATCTTCCTTTTACAGATGAGAAAACTAAATCAGAGAAGTTTGGTAACTTTCTTCATCACATGGCTACCAAGAATTCCAACTGAGATTCAAACTTGTCTTTCTCCTAAGCTCATGTCATCATGCTGCCTCAAGAGACCAGTTTTCTCATTAAAGAATAGACTGCAATGGGCAAGGCAAATCAAGAAATAAAATCCCCACATACAAAAATTAATATTGAGGAAAATGCAAGTCACTAGAAAATAATCTCCCAAAGAACTATTTAATAACACATATACCCATCTTTAATATTTGTACTCATATGTTGTGTTTAATAGAAGGGAAGTTTATTGGTTTCATAATAGGCTCCATTTAATACATTTCAAATGTTATAATGCATCTACCACTAGTGGCAAATTTAGATGGCTTTCGGTGATTCCTAGTTGTGATTAGATCACAAAAGACTTTGGATTCATCACTCTAAGAAACTTGTCCAGGTCCAAAATCAAAGAATAGAGTTGTTGGTGCTCCTTTTTCCAAGGATTGGCAGGGATAGATGCAGAAATGGAGAACTGAAAGCAATACTCATGAATCTTACATGAGCCCTAGCTGGTTTGGCTCAGGGGATAGAGTGTCGGCCTGTGGACTGAAGGGTCCCAGGTTTGATTCTAGTCAAGGGCACATGCTGGGTCGTGGGCTTGATCCCTAGTAGGAGACGTGCAGGAGGCAGCCAATCAATGATTCTCTCTCATCATTGATGTCTCTCTCTCTCTCCCTTCCTCTCTGAAATCAATAAGAATATTTTTTTTTAAAAAAGAAATTTTACATGAGTTCAGTATTATGCAGGATCCACACTGAATCTTTTTTTAAAATTGAGATATATTTGACATATAACCCTCACTGAAGCAAAAATCTTATTGTTGAAAGGAATCATCAAAATCGTCTAGTTCAACCATCCTGTTAAACAGTACTGGAAATACCTACGCAATGTTGTCAGTGAAGGGATCACCAAGCCTCTACAAGAATGCCCTAAATAATGCCCTAAATTCATTCATTTACAAAGCTGCTTATTTCATCTATAGATAGTTCTGACTAATAGACATTCTTCATATTGAGCTAAATCTCCCAACTTCCATTCACTGTTGCTAATTCCAAGCTCTTTATAAGAATCCCTAAAACAATGCCTCCTCACAAGGTTTTTCTACCCAGATTACCCTTCTTGGTACTTTGCCCAGGGTTTCAAATGTCATTGTGACCACAGCTAATCTTGGATAGATTGGTTAGGGCCTATTGAAAATCAGTAGTCAGGACTGAGTGGTCCACCCACTGCACAACAAAGCAGCATATCTGATTTCCCCTCCTCTCCACCAGGCCTGGAGGCAGCTCTCCACAGTGCTGAGCTTCATCTGGCCTTCACTGCTCCCAGGCCAGTGAGAGTTGGAAAGAGGCACTTTCCAATTATTCCGTTATCCTTGCGATCTAAGGCCTTGGCAACCTGTAGAAACCTCTTAAAAGAAGCATCCTCAACCATAAGTCAGCATTAGCATCTACATAAAACCTGTCTTGACTGCTCCACGTTCCCCAAACTCAAGAGAACTGACCATTCCACTGCTTGGTCTGAAAAGGCCTTCCAGAAAAAAAATCTAGCAAAGTTACGTAGGTCTTACTATGAGTGGAAATGAATCAAATGGTTTCTCTTCTCCAAATCTCTAATTCAGAACCTCCCCTTTACTCACAAGCCATTTGCAACCATTCTGCCTCCCTTCTATCTCCACGCCATCTGAGAACATCCTGACTTCTCACTGCCATGCTATAGAGAGAGTCTCAAATGTGGGAGGAAACAGAGAAAGAGTAGAGCCAGGTGCTTATTGCCACAGGTATTTTGGACATTGCCAGTCAGTCACAATGTGAAGCTATCTGTTCATATTCAAGCTAGTCACAGAGAAGATCCTGGGCCATAGGAATTCTTGTTGCAAAGTACCCAACTCTTCGGGTAAATTCTTTCAGATAACATAATAATAAGACTTTAGTGGTAAACAAAATATTTTTGCAACCCTGAAACACTATATCCATCACTGGATTTTTGTGATGAAATCAGGTGAGATCCACTTAACTTAAAGAACTCAATATTAGCCCTAACCGGTTTGGCTCAGTGGATAGAGCATCGACCTGCGGACTGAAGGGTCCCAGGTTCGATTCCGGTCAAGGGCATGTACCTTGGTTGCGGGCACATCCCCAGTGGGGGGTGTGCAGGAGGCAGCTGATCGATGTTTCTCTCTCATCGATGTCTCTAACTCTCTATCCCTCTCCCTTCCTCTCTGTAAAAAATCAATAAAATATATTTTTTTTAAAAAAGAACTCAATATTAGGTGTGGGTAGAGAAATGCACACTAGGTAGTAAGTTAGCACCCTCTGTATTTGAGAAACTAGTGAAAATTCAAAGTAATTACATTTGGAAGAAGACAAAGGAGTCCATTTTTTATTACAAACTATGTATGTCCAATAAATTCATAGTAAAATAAGCTTTAAAAAAGCTTTAAAATGTCAAAAAAGGAAAAAAGCCAGCAACTAGAACAAAATATGTAATGAGATTAGTAACATTTATGCTCAATTTTAGAGAATTCTTATATACTCAGCGATTAAAACATCCTATATGATGCTGTACATTTTTACAAAAGTTTTCAAAAGAAAAATAAGAATTAAACATTGATGACTGGAGTTAGTTGTAGCAAGGGATTGGATGTGAGTGTTTGACTGCTTTTTGTGCCTTCAAAGTTCTGCAGAAAATTCTGTCTTCTTTTTAGACCATCCAGAATGATTGAATTATTAGATGCCAGGCTCTGTGTCCTAAAAATATTAAAAATAGAATTATTACCTTCAAAATGGGTTGAATTTCGAATCAAAGCAAGATACTGTCATTTGTTTCTCTGTAGCAGTGTAACACTTACCAACACTAAGGTACATTTATCAAATACGTTAACCTTTAAAAATCTAAAGTACTCTTTACATTTTAAAGGCTTCACAAACGCACCTTGATTACTTGACAGCTGCTTTCCGAGAAGTTCATATTTTCTGATCATCATCCGTTCTCAAATCCAGTATCAAGTATATTCTGGTCAGAAATAAGTTTCTGAAAAACTATTCTATACAACTGAAGTAACCAATAGCCTCTTGTGTAATTTATTTTTTGAGAAGGCATAGGGAAGGGAAGAGCTAGTTACCACAGTTTTCATACTGACAACGTTCCCTTCCTTGGGGCTGTAAGCTATGTTAGTTTCTTATCTAACACATCTGCCTTGCTTCAGCCACATTACTGTTTAGGCATCTGGCTTCCGACAGTCCCCTTTTCCCACCTTCCCTCCTCTTCATCACATGCCTGTTATATGAAGATATGTCTCAAAAATGTGTCCTCCAATAAGCCTCCGGTATAGCACATCACTTTTTAAAAAATGTATTTTTATTTCTTTCAGAGAGGAAGGGAGAGGGAGAGAGAGGTAGAAACATCAATAATGAGAATCATCGATCATCTGCCTCCTGCATGGCCCACACC